ATAACCATAGGAGTGCATATGTCTTTTCAAATTAATGTTTTTGTTTTCTTTGGGTAGAAAACAGTATGGAGATTCCTCAAAAAATAAAAAATAGAGATATCATATGATCCAATAAGAATATATCTTTTGATAGAATCGTAGACTTTTAATAAGACTTGGCCAGAGAAGTGGAAGCCATTTGGGCTTAAAAGGTTTAGATTGCTTTCTAGGTATTCCCGGGGCACCTGGGTGGCTCAGTCGGTTAAGCATCTGCCTTCGGCTCAGGTCTGATCTCAGGGTCCTGGGATCGAGCCCCGCATCGGGCTCTCTGCCAGCAGGGAGTCTGCTTCTCTCTCTCACTCTCCCTCTGTGTTCTCTCTCTCTCTCAAATAAATAAATAAATTCTAAATCCTAAGTATTTCCATCCTTGTTATTTTGGAACTCTGTTGCTGATTTCATTTCTGAAACAGTATGTATAAGTATTTCTAGTTTACTTAATGCTTTCTATGAATGTAAGCTCTGTACTTCCAGCTTGTGCCATGTTGTTCTGCTTGATGGTTAGAATATGCTGCCATATCACCCTTCTTATCCTTCGAGGTCCAGCATAGAGACCCAACTCCTCCATGAAGCTTGACTGATCCTACAAGAGGTGACCTCTCTCTTTTCTGAAATGCCAGACTATTTGGTCCATCTCCCTTTCCTTACATGCCTTTTACATTTTGTTCTAGTTCTAACAGCCACCATCCCCTTTGTAGTAGCAGTTTCTGTGTCTTGGTGTAACTTAAAAGAACACAAAGAGTCAGGGATAGTTGGGTAGACCTTTATTTAGTTTTTTTTTACATGGTGTCCCCTTATGCTCTGGTGTCAGGCCCTGTCACAATGCAGAGCTGATTCAGAGAGTCTCAGAGATTTTATAGGTTCTAGAATGAGAATAACAGCCCAGTTTTCTCCCAATTTTATTACTCTCCTATCCATATAGAATGGAATGAGTTTCTTCACCTGATCTTATTAACCCATGGCCGTGTCTCATTTTGGCTCTACACCACCATTGTGAACTTAGCCTTAGAACTTAGAACAGTTCAGTAAAACCAGTTCTTATCTGAGGCTCACAACATTCTATAGGCACATGTTTGATGGATTAAGCTATTCTGCCGTAATATCTTGAGAAGAGAAATTAGGCAAAGAGCATCAAGTTGTAAGGTTACTTTTGTTTGTTGTGTTTTATCATCTTGCTGGAATTACCCGTTTTCCTTTTAATCATCATCAAGACTCTGTGTGATGAACTAGTACTATACCCAGTTATATGCTACATTTTTTTTTTTTTTAAGTAGACTTCATGCCCAGTGTGGAGCCCAACACAAGGCTTGAACTCACAACCCTGAGATCAAGAGTCAGACACATAACCAACTGAGCCACCCAGGTACCCCTTATGCTGCCTTATTTTATGCTCATTTTTTTTTAAAGATTTTATTTAGTTATTTGACAGAGACACAGTGAGAGAGGGAACACAAGCAAGGGGAGTGGGAGAGGGAGAAGCAGGCTTCCCGTGGAGCAGGGAGCCCGATGCAGGACTCGATCCCAGGCGGAACTCGATCCCAGGACCCTGGGATCATGACCTGAGCCGAAGGCAGACGCTTAACAACTGAGTCACCCAGGCACCCCTGCTCATTTCTTTCTAGCTCTTGATTGTCCTACTAGATTGTAAGGCCTGTGAAAGCAGGGGCCACATCTCACTTGTCTCTCTGACTTCACTGTGTTAGGCTTCTAAAAATGTCTGAAGATCAAAAGAAGAGTGGTTCGACTGGTTTCATGAGGGAAGAACTTGCTTGGGAATCTGAGCACAGCTGAATTGTATAGCCTAGAGCCCATTACCTCCTTCCTAAAACAAATCCGACTGATAATGTCTCCCTTCTTTCCTACAAGGATATTTTGAGACAAAATTGGGTTATACGTAACATTTTGAACCTTTTGGAGACAGAATTAGATAGGACACTTGTCTCTCACAAGTTGTATAATTTAGTTAGATGCCATCTTGTGCTGGAGTCCCCTTTAATGTGAAGACTTTCTTGCAAGCCTTCTTTTGAAAAATATATAATTTAAATGATTTAGCCTTTCCGGTGATTTTGAAATGGCTTAAGAGATTACAAATCAAGACTGTATCGGGGGACTAAGTTAATTACCTGTCTCTGCCACCAGTTGCTCCATCCATGACCCTGGAAAAAGTCACTTCTTTCTCTCTGCTCATTTTTGCCTGCTCTTCCAACATGTTGTCAGAATACATTTTACTGTTGTAGGAAATAAATTCATGGAAATTCAGAGTTCTGAGCAGATTGATCATCAACAGTTCCTGGCCCATAATAGGGTCTCAGTAAGTATTTGTAGGTACTTACTAGTGAATGAACTGATCGGTGCATTTTCAACACTGCAGATGACTGCAGTATTCCCGGCAGGCGCCATTTCCCCAGCCTCTGCTTCAGTACTTCCAGCGGTGGAGAGACTTCACTCCCTCTGAAGACCACTCATTCCCTTTGTTAACAAGTTTAATTACCATCAATGCCACCTTGGACTCCTGCGAGGCATCTTCCAAATCTGCGGGGCAGTTAGTCACTGCCAAGCTGCATTCCTCAAGCATCTTAGACATATCTGTGTTGTAGTGTTGATCTGGGTACATATAACACTCTGACTTATAATGCCTGTTATGTCTCCCTTTCTTGACTGTGAGCTCCATGAGGACAGGGCGGGGTGTCTTATTTTCTTTATACTCCCAGCTCCTGACATAGTACAGAATAGATGAGAGACTGGGGGAGGGGAGAACAGAGAAAATGAGAAGAAAGAACAATAATAACAGGGAGCACATGTATTGATGGCCAACTCAGCGGTCCTCCTAAGAAGGATGTACTCACCCAAGGAGGTGTGCACCAAAAACCATCCACTGGGCTTGAAGAAAATATTGAAACTATTCCCATTTTTTTAAGCTCAACCATTTTAATTTCTATTTTTCTGTATGTTTTATACTATGCATACTAGTTTAATATAGCTATACATGTGTTTTGTTTATTTTTATTTATTTTTAAAGATTTTATTTATTTATTTGACAGAGAGCGAGAAAGCACAGGCAGGGGGAACAATAGTGGGAGAGGGAGAAGCAGGCTCCCCGCTGAGCAGGGAGCCTGACATGGGGCTCAATCCCAGGACACTGGGATCATGTCCTGAGCCGAAGGCAGACACTTAACCAGCTGAGCCACCCAGGTACCCATGTGTTTCATTTATAAACAAACATATATTAGAAGGTACATACACAAACATTTTTTCATAAAGGTGCACATCATAAGTTTGGAGACCCTTCATATAGCTGTTTGTCAGGTACTATGCTAAGTATTTTACATGCATTATTTCATTTAGCCCATTGAAAATCAAGTGAGGTATATACTATAGTTCCATTTTACAGATGAAGAAACTGAGGCACGGAAAGGTTAATTTGCCCAGTCACATCCAGCTGGTAACCAGTGGGACAAGGGCCCAGACCCAGATCTGTCTGGCTTAACTGCTTCCCATTCTCTCTTGTTTTCTGTCCTAACACCTAGGGTTGGACCTGAGGCACAGTACAGGTTTGTAGATTAAATACATAAAATGAATGGATGAATTAATCATACTTAGCACATCTTAAAGCTTTCTCAAGAAAAATTGTGAAAATGAAAATAAAATTTCCTTTCTCACTGTAAAGGTGTGTTGGCAACAACAAGCCAAATGACATGCCCAGGTGACACAATGGAACACTTCATTCCATTTCTTAGCAGAAAAACTGAAGCGAAGGCCAGCAAGTCACTGTTTACCGCTGGGCCTGAAGTCAGGCTGCTAGTCTTGTTTTCACATCTGATGACTACCTTGTTTTTATGGAGCTATAACTTATATACCATAGAAATCAGCTTTTTAAAGAGTACAGTTCAGTTTTCAGTATATCCATGAAATTCTGCAGCAACTTAATTTCAGAACGTATGCATCACCTCCCAAAGAAACTACACACCCATTCCTGCTCTCTCTGTCCTGGGCAACCACCAGTCTGCTTTCTGTCTCTATGGATTTGTGCATCCTGGACATTTCATATAAGTGGGATCATACAGTCTGTGACCTTTTGTCTCTGACTTCTTTCACTTAGCATAATATTTTCAAGGTTCATCCATGTTGTAGCGCGTGTATCAGTACTTTGTGTCTCTTCATGGGCAAATTACGTTCCATTGTGTGGATAAACAAGAATCTGTCCATCAGTTGATGGACATTTGGTTGTTTCCACCTTCTGACTGTTATGAATGGTGCTGCTGTGAACATTGGTGTTCAAGTTTTTGTATGAACATATGTTTTCAATTCTCTTGGATATATACCTAGGAGCAAGTTGCTGGGCCACATGGCAGATGTTTAACATTTTGAGGAACCACCAAACTGTTTTCCAAAGTGATGGCACCATTTTACATTTTCACCGGCAGTGTGTGAGGATTCCAATTTCTTTACATCCTCACCAACGTTTGTTGCTATCAAACTTTTGTATAATAACAGTCCTAGTGGTCGTGAGTGGGATTTCACTGCGGTGATGATTTATATTTCTCTAATGACAGTGATGTCAAGTATCTTTTCTTGTGTTTATTGCTCCCCCAAGTATTTCTTCTGAATTCAAATTATTGCTATTTTTCTTTTTTTTTTAGTGTCTTTCATTGAAATATAAATTTTGTTCTTATGCTATCTGTTTTGTCCCAGGAACTCTCAAAACATATTAAATATTCATGAAATCTCCTATTAGGGATTGCATAGTCTCTCAGGGTGCCAGGCGGCTGGAGCCATGAGTTGTAAAAATTTAAATGAGTTTCCACCAGCAACTTTCCAGAAACTCTCTACGTTACATTATTAGATCACAAGCTTTGATAATCCCAAAATTATGGTAATGATAGTGCTTTATTTAAAAGTTCATAGGAACACCAAGACTTTTTTTTAATTATATTTTCTTAACTTTTTATATCCCTGTGAGGCAGAAAAGAAGAGAAAGCAGTAGCTGTCTCAAAGGGTCCTCCGAGAAAGTAAGTGTAGAGATTTGAATATCTAAAAAATTCTAATGTGTCATGAAACAAACCTTTTATCTTTTTAGAGAGGGAGGTGGAGGGTGGGGAGGGAGAGAGAGAATCCCAAGCAGGTTCCATGCCCAGCGTGGAGCCCAATGCAGGGCTTAACCAACTGAGCCACCCAGGCACCCCATGAAATAAACCTTTTTGAGCACAACCAATGTTTGCAGATGGATAAGAAAATTTCAAGATTGTTTTTAAGTTATATGGCAGTCCTGGATATAAATCAGTACTCAAATGTGATGCTAACATTTCAGCGATGTTGAAATTAACCTTTGCTATCAAACTTGGTTTAGATCACAGAGAAAGGAAAGGTTTTGAAAATTCCATATAACAATTTCTTCCCTGTACATTGAAAGAATATTTACATTAGCCTCTAAAGATTCGTAGTAGTATTCATGGGGGGGAAAAATGCCTGACAGATTACATGTATAGCAAAGTCCATATTAGTGTAAGTGTTTATTATAGCTGTGAGGTCTTTCTGGCTTTCAGAACTTACATGTTCCCATTTTAAGATTAAATATTATTTGATGGCTTTTATCAGCATTAGTCATTCTCAACCTACTGTAAGTTGAATGTATTTGGTCATGTTCACAGTGACGAAATTCATCAGTATTGTTGAAACTGGACTTTTATATGGAAAGTGATTTTTCTTTTCAAAAAAACTTTTTGGATTTTTGTTTAGTCAAATACTGGTCAAGCACCAGACATGGGAAATACAGTGAATGTAAGGCAGTGTTTGCCTTTGTAGAGCTTGTAGACCACCCGCAAATGCCAAAACCATTAGATAATTGCAATTTTGGTGAATGCTAGAAATGAACACCTTCTGATTCCAGGAGAACACTTAGTGGAGGGGCCGCCCCAGTTTGTGCTTGTCAGAAAAGGCTTCCCTGGGAGATGACACAATGTGGGACCTAAAGGGCGCCTAGGAGTTAGCCAGCACATGGGCCTCACAGGCTAGCGCTAAGGCAGACATGAGCTTGATGCTCTCGAGGACTTTAATGGGCGTGGCTGATGTGCCAGGAGCAAAAAGACAAGGTGAGGCAGGGCGGGGGGCAGGCGTTGTATAAGGGCACGTTAAGGATCTGGGCCTTGGTCAGTGGAGAGCCACCAAAGGGGTTAAGGCTGTACAGTAGCATGTGTTGGTGATCTATAAATTAAGAACGGGCAGTGACCCTTTGCTCCGTCCCTTTCTTCTCTCTTGTTCAGGAATATGATTGGAGAAACTATCAGCCCAGCCAGATGAGTGAATCTGAGTTGCAAATGTTGGCAAGCCTGCGGCGGCAACAGAATGAAGAACTGGAGGACCCAGGGGCTCCCCATGGCCTGAGCGCATCCCAGGTTGACAACTGTAACGTCAGCATTAGTACCAGCAGCGACGACACGACCACCTGGAACTCCTGCCTGCCACCAGTGAGTCCAGGGCTCTGGGTCTTTGTGTACTGCCTTAACGAGGAGCAAACTTCTTTCCAACAAAGCCCAGCCTTGCCTGGGAAACCTAGGGCCAACATGAGAACGCTGCCCATGAGAAATATTCGGAGCCCATTCAGGAGCATCTGGCTGGCTCAGTCAGTAGAGCAGGCAACTCTTGATCTTGGGGTTGAGTTCAAGCCCCGCATTGGGTGTAGAGATTACTTACAAATAAAATAAAAGAAAGAAATATTCAGAGCCCATTCTGAATTAGTGTTTTAGGTCTGAGGGCATTGTCTTTTCGTAAGCTGTCTTACTTACCTTCAGATAATGGATGTTCATTATGTGGTGATATATACGAACATACATTGAAAGCAAAAAGGAATCATTTTACTGTCAATTCTGGGTCTTTCACTGTATCCGCAGCTCCTAGCACAGGCCTGGCACATAGAGAGGGCTCAGTATTGTTAAATGAATGAACAAAAAAGATGTTTGCTGCTCCCAGTATCTGAGGGCCGTGATAGGCACTGCAGACGATTTAACAGCTTATCTTTTCCCATATGTTTATACAGTTAAAGCACTTTTAAATATGGCCCATCATCCTCACAATGGACCAGCCGAGGAGTTGGATCAGGTCAAAGTCTTCCTGTGTTTCAGTTGAAGAAACTAAACTCTCCTAGGCCCAAGCTTCCACACCTGGTCAGTGGTGGAGCCCAGAGCAGAGCCCGGTGTTTTGACTCAGTCTATTTTCCCCACTTCTGGCCTTGGGGATCTTATGGCTGAATTGGAAAGACAAAGTGGAAACACTGATAGAACAGTCCTATACAGCTTAAAAAATCATAAGGCAGAATAGTAAAATCAGTATTTTAATAGTGGTATTTAAAGCTGCTATTTCTTTAAACACCTAGAGACATTTTAAGACCTCCATGAACCCAAGGAAATTTACTTATAATTTACTTATATTTACCTATAAGGCCACATTCAACATCAAATCAAACATATTAAAATACACTTTCATCCAACAGTAAATATTACTTTTTTACTGTATAATTTTTGAAGGGAAATATAAAATTTATTTATATTTATATAAAATTAGGTAAAGCCTGAGTTCAAGTGTAGTTGACAGTAGATAATGTATGTTTTAAGAGTCTAATTAAATATTTATTAATTTTACAATTTTCTTTCCGAGAAATTTTTTTTTCAAAGTCTCCAGCATCTTTGTAGACGTTAGCAATCTCGGAGGCTCTGGCACTAGGCTTTCTATGTGTTACCTAACTCAGTCTTTACTGCTATCTTATGTGGTAAGCACTGTTAAGTTCCCAATTCCAGATGAGAAAATTGACTCTTGAGTGTAGTGATTCAGACTTAGCTTGGCATGACTCCTCTGAGTTTGAGCTCCTAACCACCATGATGGGGTGACTTCTGTGTGTGACTTAATTTGCCAAATGGGTACCATGGATATCCAGCAGATGGTGACATTTCTGCTCTGGAAAGTACATACACGTCTTCATGGAGGAGGAATTCAGATTGACTCTAAGGCAATGTAGGGAAAGAAGGATGTTTTCATGAGTATTTTTTATCCCTACTTTGCCCACCCTCCAGGCTTCCCTTGCCTCAGTTATGTTTTCATTAAACTAAATGCTCAAACATGCATAAGGCCTCCAGCAGCTTTGGTGCCAAAGAATATCTACCCATCCAACAAGAACACCCCTGTGTGCTGGTTACTCAGAGTATCCTTGTAGCAGATCTAAGAACATTAAGAGTAAGTTGCAGATTTTTGCCAATGCAATTTACAATGGAATTGAAATATTGCCTTTCTTATAAAATATTCCTCAGCAGTCAGTTAAATGGAAAGTAAGAAAGAGAACAGTGGCCTCCTGAACGAACTCATTCTGTCGTGAAGTAGCTTGGAGACCAACATTACAAAGGACAAACCGAGGAATGATTATTTATGGACTGAAAAGGCTGAGCTCTTGGTTGCCCTGGATACCGGGTGTTCATCACTGTCCTGTGCTGGCAAGGACTAGAGTCCTCATGCACAACAACTACTCTGCTCTAAAAGTATACAGCCAAAAATAACACCAATGGTAATGAACTTAATAACCCCTCCGTTTGACCAAATGAGAAATTGAAAACAGTCTATTTTTTAGACAGAGAAAATAATTGAAAAGCCCACTTTTGGTATTCATAAGATATGTTTATTACTGCATCAAATTCAGTCTATTTCAATATTGGAACTATCACCAAATGGAAAATTGCATTTCTTAATGAACTCTGCATCTTGTTGCTCATATAGAGTTTAAATAGAGCAATTTACAAGAACTATTGTGGTCTTTCTGAGAGCTCATGCCTTTCTCTTTAGAAGTTGTACAGGGAGAGTGAAAAAGAAGAAATGAACGAACTCATTACTTTATTTAACACAATGGTACCCTGCTTTTCATGTATCTCAGTGGCGCCGCCGCCATCCACAGTGACACTCCACCAGAAATTTGGAGTACATCTCTATTTCTCCCACTGCTTCATTTCCAAATCCTAAGAATCCTCAGGATTTTACCCCTCCCTACCTAACACCATAACCTTGGCACTTTACTTTTCATCCACGTTCCCTCAGTAGGCTCCTGGTACCTCTGTACCTCCCATCCAAGCACCTGATGGTGAGGAACATCTGCTCTGAGGTCAAATGGCCAAGGTTCAAATCTAAGCCATGACCTTTTAAAACACTTGGCACTATATCTGAGACATAATAAGTAATTAATTTAGTAAATTAAGGTTATTTGTCATTATTATTGTCATTATTATTCACACTAGTGATCTTCCTAAAGCCCGGATCTAATCTTACCTCTTCCCTGCATAAAGCCTTTCCTAGTTCCCATTGGCTCTTTGGTTTGGCATACAGGGCCCCCCATGGTGTGAGACCTGCTCCCCTCCCCCAGCTCATCTCTCACTGTTCCTCACCTTTTACTCCATGCTTCGGTCCAAGTTATAACTTCCTGAATGCACTCTGCACACATCCTTGTACCTTGTACCTGATGATCTCTCCAGACATAGCTCCAAAGCCTGCTGTAGCCCTTCTCCAGGCCTCATTGTGAGAGACAGACCTTCCTTTCTGCCACTAGAGCCAGGAATATCTCAATGACATTATTGTTCCTGAACCCAAATTCTGCTGCCTGTCACCTGAAAGATCGTTACTCAACAGATGAGTTTGGATTGGAAAGGAGTTTGAGCTTTATTCAGGAGACCAGCCACCTGGGGAGAAGGTAGACTCTTGTCCACAGGCCAACTCAGAGGGTTCTGCCTGGCCCAGGGGTTTTTAAAGGGGTTTAAGGCAGTTAATAAACAAGGGGAGTACAGTGGCCTGCAACATATCTTGGTTCCATGCAGACTAGATGATGCCAAAGATAGACGTTAACTCAGTGCTTGGGGCTTGTGCAAGGGGGTCCAGCTCTTGTTTCCCGATGTGCAGGACTGTGTTCTTCCTGCAAAGGAGGACAAGGTCTGCAGATACACAAAGGGAGGTGAGTAAAATCATTTGTGTGACCTGAAAAAGAACAGCACCTTGCTACAAAATTACTGGACTCATCTGAAAGCCAAGGTGGCTTCCAACAGACTTGCTGGCCTCTGTGGCCTGGGAAAGTTCTGGTCCTTCACTCCTCAAGGCTGGTGGTCTGCAAATCTCAAAGAAAGTTAAGTTAGTTCGGTTACAAATCAAGGGCCTTCGGTCAGCAAGTAAGGAGTGTGTTAACTTGAAGCAACCCTTAAGACCAGCTGGGGTGCTGTTAAACTCTCAGCCTAGCTTATCTGTCTCACATTAATTCATTCCACATACTTGTTTTTTTGCTTTTGTTTTTAAGCGGTACAATAGGCTGTGAACTATGCTGGGGATAAAAATAAAGCTTGACCTGGCCTTGAGAGGTTCACCATATTGGAGAGAGGCGGAGAGTCAACATCTCACTCTAAGTCAGGGCACTGAGTGATGACAGAATGAAGAGTTTCATAATAGCTCTTAGAAGAGAGGCCCACGTCAGAGAAAGCAGTTGATTCTACTCTTGGTTTCAAGGATATTTTCACAGAGAAGGCTACAATTAAGTCAGAGTTCAAGAATGCATGCAAGCTCATGTGGAAAGAGGGGGAAAGGAATTCCAAGTTCTGAAAAGGGACAGAATAAATCTATGGAGGTGAGAGTGGAGTCTCTCCTTGAACAGGATAATCTCCTCTTAGTGTCCTTGTTTCTCCATCACCTTGAACAGAATTTGGAATGACTCTTTGCTTGTCTCACCATCCACCCCTAGCCAGCATACACCCAGAAGGCCCCCATGCTCTAGCTGCACCATGCAGCATGCCCGTCACTGCCGTGCCCTGTGTCCAGATCATGTCAGTCATTTCGTTGCTCATCATGCTCTTCCCTCTGCCTGGGGAGACCCTCCATCCCTCTTCTCTACCCAGGACACTCCCTTGTTTTCCAAGGCCCAACTCAAACATCACTGCTTTGTGAAACCCTCTCCTACACTCCACCACGCTGCACAGAATTATTCCTTCCTTCTGTGGGTTCCCATTATCTTCAGTCTCAATGTTAGCATTTACCACATCAGGGAACCATTGTTAGTGATGTGCCCGAGGCCTGGTTGTGAGCTCAGTAGGCTTGATTTATTTGGCAAGAGATGCCTACAAAAGTAGGCAAAGTACAAAAGTGCATGCTGAGCACAGTGCCTGGCATGAGGTCACACTCAGTCTCTGGTTATTAGTCATCGACTGAATGAATCAGTCAGAAACATTAAAAAGAATCCTTTTTTACTCTACAATAAGGTAGTTTTCATCAAAATTCCAAAATAAACATCAGCTTTGCTTTGCTTAAATAAACCCTGGACGATGCAGATAATATTTTACATTCAAGATTTGATAAATGGATATTAAATATACATACAAAGGAAAAATCCCTCTCTGGACAGGGCTTGATGACCAAGGGTTTAAAACAGAGATTTAAGTAGGTCACATTCAATTTAGCA